ATGATGATGATGATGATGATGATGATGATGATGATGATGATGATGATGATGATCCTTATTATTATGACAACGACGACAATGATGATGATGATGAAGATGATGATGATGAAGATGATGATGATTCTTCTTCTTCTTCTTCTTCTTCTTCAATACATGTATTTACATATATTATTTTTGTTTTTGTTGCTTTATCTCCAATTGCCTCGTGTAACAAGATACACAACCATTGTAATGAACACACAACGGTGTCTTTATCGGCCTTTGTCAAATTGCTTTCCTGTTCCTAGTTTAGAGAAATCCGACGTTCAAAATGCTGAGTTTCACAAAATGGGTAAGCTTTTTCGAATGCTATTCTTTGGATATCATGATAACGATTCCGAATATTCTTACGATTTTGATAAATCAGATAGAAGAACATTTTGTTTTCTAACTTCATGGTCTTAGTAACTCAAAATTGAAGAAAAGGCAGATAGATCTAGAACTTGGCGCTCGTTTGACCTTATGCAGTTGCGAGCGCCGTAAAACCCTCTACTATAAAAAAAAAAAAGATCTAGAACCTTGCAATTCTGAGGTAGCGAAATCTTAATGTCTTGTAGTCTTAAAAATAGTATCTTTGTTAGAATTTCTGTTGAGAGTATACTTACAAGAATGATTTGTCCCAGTGTTGTCACATTATCACTGCTTCTCTGCGAGGAGAAGGGAGATAAAGTTGTAGTCTGCTTTTTCCTATCTCGTCTTTTGCATAATAATGATTCGTTTTATGTCCGAAAATTGGGGTGACCCATTAAGCATCAAGCCAGACACTAAATTCCAACTAAAGCAACTCTGTTTATCTCACGTGGAATTTCATTTTTTTAAAAAGGAAAAGATAAGGAATGAATTAAACAGGTTACAAATTTGTGTCGTTTTTGTTTTTTAATCTTATCTCCAACAGCAGACCGCTGTAATATGAGTTTGGGTTATTTATTATCTTTTTTGTTTTGTTTGCTATTTTTCAGTAGTCCTGTTTTGTTTTGTTTTTACTTTTTTAAAACTTATTTTTTTCTCTTCACTTTATCTTCAGTTGTCATGTGTAACATGATACAAAAAATAACCCCGCATTGTAACGAGCACAGATCAGTGTCTTTATTGTCCTTTAAATAATGTCTGGCAGTCTTAAAACATCGTATCTTTGTTAGAATTTCTTTGCAGAGATTACTTAAAAGAATGACTTGTGCCAATGATGTCACATTAGCACAACATCTACAGCGAAGAGAAGGGAGATTAGTTGCTGTCCTTTTTCCTCTCTCGTCTTTTGCCTAATAATTGTTCTACGGCCCAAAATCGTTAAGCATTACGCCAGACACTTAATTTCAACTAATGCAACTCACTTAATGTTTATTCCACGTGGAGTTCCATTTAAAAAAAGAAAAAAAAGGGAAAGATAAGGACTAATTTAAACGCTTCTCTGCTGGCTCCTAACCCCCACCCCCCACCCCCCC